ATGTTGGGTGAAAAAAAAAGAAAAAAAATGGGGCCCCCCTTTTTTTAAATTTTTTTAAAAAAAAAAAAAAAAAATATATATATATATATATATATATATATATATATATATATATATCTGATGCAAAGGCTTTCTAACACCTTTCTCATGTCACGACTCTGAAGACTGAAGGACGCTGTCAGCAGGTTTAATGACAATTAAAAGGTTAAACTGAAATCAAGACAAAAAATACAATGAATATGTGATCATATGCAGCATAAAATACACCACATTCAATTTCTACCGAACATCACATCTATATGCGTACATCTAGGCTACCAACTGCGCACCCGATAACCTCGCATCTAATTAACATAACAAGCATACTCTACCTTAAAACAACACATTAGAGCGCTATGGCTAGACAGAAACAATGTTACAAAGTTACAAACGTCATACATACCGGCAATGAAACCATACATGAAAGATTTCAACAGTAATTTACACCAACGGTGTCTATTTCTACCGTTTAATAAGTTCTGTTTCGAATAACAAAAAACTTACTACGTTGTAGTACTTGAAAATAACATGAGAGGGCAGGCTTTCTCTCTTTTTTCTCATATACTACTAAAAAACAACATTTATAACTTCAAAACAGAATATATTCAATCCATATATAATTTCCCTTTCACGTCACAGATACCCATCCTTTTGTGTCAGTCTGACACATAAAATCCCAATAAAATACACAGAGTTCAAAAAAGTTCAAGAGGCACCACAATCGAAATGACAGCATTAAAACGATAAGTACGTCAACCACACTGTGAAGTAAGTAAGTGAACGACGTGTTAGCACTTCTGACCTTGGCCAAGGCTTGTTCGGTCTTTTCCGGGGCACCGCGGTACGCCTGAGCGATGTCACAAAGGGGGAGGGGCATGAACTGCAGCGTGAAGTTGCTAAGCGATGGAGAGAGAAGAGAAAGAAAAGTCACTTTTGCATGGATGAAAAGAAAACGATCTTGATGCAAACTAGAACAAACAAACAATGCCCACAGCTCCTCTCTTACAGACGTAGCCGGTTCCCAAAGATGAAAAAAAAAAAAAAAAAAACACCCACATGCCTTTGTGCACACAGACAAGTTTAGAAACTTTTGCACTTCCACAGATCTGACAGGCACACCAGTCAGAAGAGTGATGAAATGCTGTGAAACAGTAAACACTTCAGAAGGATGGTTATCTGCCTTTCATATGTCTCTGTGAGGGATCTGTTTTATGAGGGAGCCCCTTGTCTTCAAAAGGACAAAAAAATAAAAACCGGCTGGTATACGTCGCGTTCGGCTTACTGCTCCAGCGCTCTCGCCACGTCTTGGAAGCCGACTCCAGTGGTGTTGTTGCGATCCCACGTCACGCTCCTGAAGGGTGGGGTGGGGAGACAGACAGACAGGAAATAGAAAGGGACAGGCTCAGAAATCAGGAGGAAGTCACTCAGCTGCCTTTCACACCTTCCTGCTGTAAGACGGTCACAGTAATTGGTTGGCTGTAGGACGATGATTGGATCGCTCTTTTCCTGCATTGAGGGAATACGGGACGCGAGAACAATATCCGGCTGTTTAATGAGCCCCTGTGAAATATTCAGCTTCCATCCAGCATCTGTCCAACTTTTTTATACCAGTTCTTGTCCATATTCCCTTTTTATCCGTCTCCCCGTCTCCGCCCCAACATGCTTTGCCCTAGAAACTCAAATCAACAAAACCCAAATCTCTCACTCTCTCCAGGTGGTCTTCCATCCCCGTTCCTTCCTTATCTTTCTTTTCTTCTTTCTTTCATCCCCATTTCCAACTATTCAATCATCCACTCCCCCCCAATGTGGATTTTGTCCTCATTTGCGGCTTCTCGAGCTCCCATTATTTCTTTCCATACTTGTTATTTCCAGGCACCTAAAGAGCTACTCAGCATCATTTCTCACTCCTGAGTGTTATAACAACACAGGATGCCTGAAGGACTTTTATTTTCTTATGATGATTCATTGCTGAATTCCCAGGAGTGCTCAGTTACGTTTTCGCCCCCTGCAATGGTGAGCCTTTCCTCTGAATCTCTGCCTCTAAGCAACTCTCCTGTCTGCGCTCCGCATCTTCATTTTTCTATTTATTCATACTCTTTCATCCGTGTCGACCAACTTCTGCAAGTTTGGTTGCTTGATTCTCCACGGAAAATTTGATGGAAGTGCTATTGATCCTAATATATATATATATATATATATATATATATATATATATACACACACACACACACACTGCTCAAAAAAATAAAGGGAACATTTCACTTTAATTTTGTGTGTGGCTCCAAATCCAGGCCTCCATTGGTTAAGGTTAATAAATTTTATTTCCATTGATGATTTTTGTGTGATTTTGTTGTCAGCACATTCAACTTTGTACAGAACAAAGTATTCAATGATAATATTTCATTGATTCAGATCTAGGATGTGTTATTTGAGTGTTCCCTTTATTTTTTTGAGCAGTGTATATATATATATATATATATATATATATATATATATATATATAATCACATGCATATGTGAGTGTTTTATATATATAGAGAGCCTCGCTCTGCGTC